CGCAGCGCCCCCGAGTGAAGCAGCGGCTCCCCCCGCAGCGCCCAGCTGCCGACCGGCACCTTCCTGACCGCGGCTCCCGCCGAAGGGGAGGACGTGGAGCGGGTCAGCACCGGCACCAAGTTCGCCCTTCGGCTCTGGCTGCAGTCCCGCGGGGAGCAGGGACGCGTCGGGCCCTAGGGCAGCGTCGCGCCGCTCCTGCCGCCGGGAATAAAGTTGCTGCCCACCGGGAGTGGAGTCCGCGCTGGAGCGGGACGGGGGCGCGGGTGGCGGGACGGCGCGGAGGGGACGCGGAGCAGATCAGCACCCATCAGCCGACCAAGCCCGGGGTCCCCCACCCCGGTAGCGTGCGCTGGGGGGGTTCTTTGGGTGCAAGGTGGGCTCTGCACCCACAGAAACGGCCCCGCGGGGTCAAGCGGCACGGTACGGAGCCGGCGCGGGCTCAGCACCGCTCCACGGCTGCAGCGCAGCCTGCTCCTCAGCGGCGGGGGCCCCCCCCCCCCCGCCCCCCCCCGCCGCGTGTAAGGGCGCGCTGGGTCTACAAAAGGCACGTTGTCGCCCCGGCAGTGCCGGGAGCGCAGCCGCCGCGCGTGCCGGGGGACCGGGGTCCCGCGCCGGGCACCTCTGGCTGCAGGGAAAGCAGAGCAGAGCGAGGGGACGCGGGCGAGCGGAGCCCACCGCGAGCCAGCCCGGCATCTCGGCGCCACCCGGTTGGGAACAAATCCCCGCCAGCGGGGGATTCCCGACGTTCGGAAACCCCCCAAACCCGCGCGCTCCTGCCCCCAGACCCCTGCTCCTCGCACCAGAGCAGCGGCGGCTGGGCTGCGGCTCCGCGCGCCCGGTCGCCGCAGGAGCGGGCAGGTCCTCCGCATTTACACCTTTATTGCATCGAAAGATTTGCCGCGGTTACGATACAAGAAATAGGAAATCGTCCAAGCAGAAGGCTGTGCGCTGCTCCCCCGCCCGAGCCCCCGGCCTGGAAGGTCAGGGAAGGAGCAGTTAAAAAAAGGTGCTAAAAAAAGGGCTACACGTGGTACCTGTCGGCGCTCCGGCCTCGCCGCGAGCCGCCTCCCCTGCGCCTGGCGCTGCGGGGGCCGGGCGAGGAGCTCGGCAGCGGGGAGCGAGCCCCTCCGGACGCTCACAAAGCAGCAGGTACGGCGCTGTAGAGGTTACAAAGTAAAGGATACGTTTAAATACATAAATAACTTGTGCAACAGGCGATGCGCCGTCCCCGGAGACGACGCAACCTTCATTTAGTCCTCGCGCGGAGAAACGGGGAAGTCTTTGGAGTTTTCTATGTACAAAAGCTGCAACTGAAAATATAGATCATCTCTTTGTTCTCTGTACAGGTCTGCGCGGGAAAAGAAATCTATATCGTTTTTTAAAAATACGTCGTAATTTCACTGTCACGGGAGGGACGGGCAGGGGCAGCGGCGCCGCCCCGTCCTCCAACGCAGCCCCGCGTGCCTCCACTCTGCCCCCGCCACACGAGGAGCGATGTCGGGGGGCCGGGGGCAGCCCCAGCCTCGCTCGCGAGGGTCCGCGCCGGGGCTGGGGGCGAGCGCAGGACACCCCGCTTCTGGGGAGCGGGCGCTGCTCCCGCCACCGAGGCGGCGGTTGGTTTATCCTCGCCGAGATCCGCAGCGGAATCCTACGCCACATAAACGGTTTTAAAATATTTCTTTAAAGTCAGGGGGTTTGGTTAACCCTCGGAAACCGCGCAGGCGCGGCCGCGGGACGCAGCCTTCCTGACAGAGGCGGAAGCCACCGGCGCGCGGAGGCCTGGGGGCGCGGGCTACGCGGGGGCGACGGCCTCGATCGGGAGAGGAGACGCAACGCAGCGCAGCTCCTTCCAGCCCCGGCCGGGGAAGCCGATCCCTAAGGCAGCGGCTGGAGATCGGCCCTCGCCTCCCGTCCCCGGCAGAGGGAACGACGGGCAGCAGCGCAGCCTTAGTCCAGGGAGATGATGTCTGGCCTGCAGCCCGGCAGTGCCGTGCCACTGCTTACGGTCCCGTTGTGCCCGTGGCTCTCCCGCAGCGCGCTGGTGGAGACGATGCTGCTGATGCGGCCGCCGGCCGGGCTGACGGCGCTGTGAGAGCCTGCCATCACGGGGGCCAGGGGATTCACGTTAATGAAGTGGCCGGACGCGCCTCTGTACTGGAAGAAGTGGCCGAGGGCATCCTGCTCATCCAGGGAGGTGATCACGGAGGGGCTGTAATGCTGCCAAGCGAAGGAGAAACCCCCGTCAGCTCACGGGGTCCACGCCCCCCGTCCCACGCAGCGGACGGCTCGCGCAGGGACGACCCCAGAGCAATGTACCAGTTTACCAGGACCGGCCCTGAGCCATCGACCCCCGCTGCCTCCCGTCAGCACGGCCCCGTGCGAGCGCGGGCTTCGGAGGCGAGAACGGCAGCAAAGAGATGCGGCAGCAGCAAGAAATAAAGCCCAGCACAGAGAAAGAAGACGGAGCCTACAGCGACCGCCCTGAAAAGCCACGCGCGCGCGGATCCGTGCCCTACGCTGAGCCGCCTCCGCGCGACGCCGCCAGGACAAATCTTGGCGACCGCCGCCAAATCCCTCCGCTTTCTACCACCGCTCTCCTACGGCTGCGTGGATTCCGCCTCAGAGAAGCAAAACATTTCCAGCTCCGAGCCTCGGCGATTCCGAACTCGCCGCAGCACGGCAGGCTCGGGAAAGCAGACGCGTGAAAGGAGAGAGGTGCTGGGCAGAGGGGCGAGAGCCCGGGACTCCTGCAGCTGCGGGGCTGACCACCTATCTCCCTGCGATGCCCGTGGGACCGCACAGCCGTCCTACGACAGTTCTCACAGAGGAAGAGGATGGAGGGGGAGGAAGGTTGGCTGAGCGAAGAGGGAGGTATTTGCCAGTCTGCAGGTTTGGCGAGGAAGAAAGAAAAACAAAACGAAACGAACCAAAAAAAAAACCAAAACAAAAAAAAAAAAAACTTACCTGGTTTTCACTTTGGAGGAAGGAAAACAAATCCAGACCTAGAAAAATAAAAAGGGGAAAAATAAATCTCTGGATGGTAAATGAGCTTCTGGCAGGAAGGGGAGCCAAACCGGGCTGCCGTGGAGAGGGAGGCAGATGGGCTGGGACTGCTTCCCAGGACCAGGTACCGCGCCAGCGCCAGCTCCGACTCCATCACAAACTCCGTCCGTTCCTACAACCCCTCTGGAACTCATCGCCTGGGCTCAGCGGCGGAGCAGCACAGGGCGAACGATTTCACACCCCGAGAGCTGGCGGGGGGCCCGGCACCCCAACCAAGTCCCAGCGAAGCTCGGCAAACCGCGCGGGGCTGGGCCGGCGCAGGCTGGCGACACCACGACGCTTCAAACCGCTCTGCAAACGCCGCTTAAGGGTCTCGACCGAACGAACGCCATCAGACGGCAACTCTGCGCACATCACATCGGACGGGAGGGACGCGTGCACCGCGCACGGGACAGAGAGGGTTTCCAGGTCTCTACCGCCGAGCTGACGGGGGACCGGAGCCCGTCACCTCATCTCTCCGGGCAGCAGCCTCCCTGCCTGCAACCCCAGGCTTTAAACGCCCGCCTCCCCGGGGCAGGCGAGGCGTAACTCGCTCCCGTACAGCACACGGCGATCCGCAGGCCCGCGGGCTCCTGGGAATGGTTTGTTATTCACTGCTCGGTCACGGACGTGAGCCTCTCTCGTGCTGGGTTCGGACACACAACCTGGATCGCACCCCGCCAGCCAGGAACAACAACAGCCCACGAAAGGAAGTCGCAGCCTCCTTTCCCTGGTGGCCCTGGGGCACAGTAACTAGCCAAACCCTGGCTCGTTCCTACCTGCGACCCCGACAACCAGATTTCGAGTTATTCTGCCAGCCAAGATCTCCCCTGCAGGCCCCCAGAGAAATCTCTCCGGAGTCGTGCCCCAGGAGGGAGGTACTCTAGTTTCCTTCTTCCCTCTTCTGTGTTGGGCCAGTGAATTCAAAACCACTTGCTCTGATCTGCAGTAGCTGCCAGGCCAAGAAAGGCTACGTGTGCGAGCGGCCCAAAGGCCCCCGCGGCTCAGGGGAAGAGCAGGCCAGGGCACCGGCTGTTACGGCCAGCTGAAGTCTGGTAAACTGGTACAATCGTGCGCGTTTGAAAAGCGCTGCCAGAGATCTTTGTCGTTACCTTGAAACTCCGAGGGCACCTGGTAGGAAGGGTGGTAGTCGGGAAGGGGGAGGTTGGAGAGATAGTCGCTGCCGAGAGTGGCCGTGGGCGGGCTTCGAAGCACAGAAGACGGCTGGTGATCAATACTTAATGCCCTGAAACAGAATACAGACCCGAGGAACCTTAACAAAAGCAGAACGGCATGCTGAGGGCAAAATTCCTCCGTTGTTTATCAGCAAAAACCCCCAAAACCCCTGATGCTACCACACCTAGAGCAAAACCAAGCCCTCCCTCGGCCGAAGAGGTGTGTCACCCCACCCCGGCCAGCTGCGGGAAGCAGCGGCAGCGCTTCCCAGGGACAGAGCGGGCTCGGAGCTGGTCACGGCGACGGCATCGGCGTTCGGGAAGGGAAGCGAGCAGAGAGCAGGAAGCCAAAGAAGCCAAAGCCCCGGAAGGCGGGGGGCCGGGTTGCGGCGCTGCCTTACCCCTTGGGCCCGGCCGCTGCCGGGAGAGCCGTGCTGGAGACCGGGCACTGCTTCTTGGCAGGCGGCTCCTCCTCGTCCGACGAGCTGTCCAGAGTGAGGTCAATAACTTCCACTTTTTTCTTGCCCTCCAAAGCGTTCTTGCCCTCGGAGCTCACAGTGTAAAGGGAGCTGGCTGCAGAGGAAAACCAGCGATCAGCGTCAACTGCTGAAATGGAGAGGGGCAAAACACCGCCGCCTCTGCAAGCGCTACACCCCTGCGAGGAACTCGGGACCTCCAAACAGCTCGTAGCAAATCCACACCCCGTCCCAGAACAGAAGATGATCCCCACACTGACGGTCAGGTCTCCCTAGCCCACCTGGGATTAACGCTGCAGTTTCAAGAGGAACCTGCATTTTTCTTGCTTTTGCTAGCACTTACTCCACAGCGGTGTGCTAAGTGCCTGTCATGCTCCTGGTATTTCAGTGTGATCCCAAATACCGGCTCCCAGATGGGATCTGAAACGCTCCAAATGTGGCTTTGTAAATGTAAAAATTGTAAATGTAAACGTTGCTTTGGCAAAACAAGGCGTCCAAAAAAAGAGTTGGCGACCATAGCTCCCGTACCCTCGATCCCGCTGAAGGCAGACGTCTGGCACACCTCCTGGTTCTCCTTCTTCGGCTTCATGGGGCACCAGGAGCCGTCCTCCATGAACTGGATCTCATCGCAGTCCGTGCAGGAGTTCAGGATTTCCATGAACAACCTGGGGGCGGGAGCACAAGCTGGGGAGAGCGCACGCTGCAAGGGCTCGCGCGTAAACATACCGTTCTAAAATCCGTGCCAATATCACCTGCAGGTTTCGGTTTATGACGGGCTGTTCGATGTACACAGGAGGCTCTGTTCAACCCCCGGTAAGCAGGTTCCCTCACTACTGCCTCTGCGGAGGCTGCCAGCAAGGAAGCCAAGATTTTGACAAAGGCTTGGTTCAGGGAATGAAAATCAGATTTTAAGTTACTCGAGGCTGTAACCTGTCTATATATGCTAGCATTAGAGGATAAGCCTTAAAAGAAAAACATTATCCAGGCTAAAGACCGCGCCAGAAGCCTGCTCGGCTCACCCGTCGATGATCAGGGTGTCATACGGGGCTTTCTTATCGCACACAGGACAAGTCCACGTGGGTTTCTTCTCATTCATTTGAAGATAGAGCGCTGCATCGAAGCACTGGAGGTGGGTGCACGTGATGGCTCGGCAGGGCACGATCAGCCTCATCTTACCCAGCTGGGGAACGAGGAGTAAGAAATGAAGTTGGTTTTGTAGAAGGCGCCTCTCGCAGCACCGAGCAAAGCCAGCGGCGTTCCTCCCCGTTCATTCCCTTTTCTCCCCTGCCCAGCGCTCCAGCACGCTTAACGAGACCTTAAACTAAACGTCAACGAAGAATTCACGTGCGAGAGAAAACAACCTCTCCTGAGGGTATTTTTGCCTTTTCTTTCTATTTTTTAAGCTCACTTCCACCTCAAACACATGCTAATAGCGAAGGACAAGGATCGGGTCAACAGAAGACATTTTTTGGCTAGGCAATTTAGGCCACATCTCAGCAATTTTTTTTATGCACGAAAGAAAGCGGTTCTGCTTTTATTTAGGCGTCAAAGCTGACTTTTCAACAGAAGCAGGGCTGCGGCAGCATTAGCCCTCGTCTCACTCCAAAGCGTTCCTACGCGAGGGTAAGGTAAAGCGGGAAGCTGCTCGCAAAGGCCTGCCCAAGAAAAAGGAACAAAACGGTAGAAACCTACTGGACACATCAGGGAAACGCGTAGGCTCGTTGTGGCTATCTCGCTGTCAGGGTCAGCGGTTAGTTTTTCTTTGACTGAAAGAAGAGGAGGGGGGAAAAAAGGTCTCCTGTCAACATCCTCCTTCTTTTACATGCATAAATACGTACAGACGTGATTTATAATTTGCACCGTGACACTTATTATCCAAATTACAGGCAGGTAATGCTTACGACAGCAGGCGTTACTACTATTAGGTTAACAGCTCCGGCAAGAATCTCCTGGGCTGGACCACGGGGCAGCACAAGGAGACAGTCCCTGCCTTAAAGATTTTACAGCCTGCCTGTGAAACGACAGCATGGGGGGAACGCGTGGTTGTCGGAGGGAAACACGTACAGTTTGAGCATAAGCAGCAATGGCACCACTCCTGCTGCTTCTCACAGGACCAATGTTTTGGAAGGATCACAACAGAGACGGGCAGCGATTTGAAGAAGGGTTTGATTTAGAGCTCTGTTGAATGGCATCACTGAAAAATAGTCCGCAATCTTGACGATCCTTACCTTCCCGTCAACAGGCCTCAGCAAGCGCGTGCGGGCTCGCGAGAAGGGACGCGCCAAAGACCTGCACCGCCCCCGCTTGCTAATTCAGACCCGCTCTCTCCTCCCATGCTCAGCACGGGATCGGATCGAACACCGTCACGAGGGGTACGTACTCAGGGCTCGCGAATGGTCTGGATTTCGGATGCCCTTGGCTCTCAGCTTCTGTAGCAGCGTTACCGATGTCAGCTGCTTCACCAGGTACACCGACAGAGAGTAGTTCTGTTGAAAAGAAGTTGACGCTGCTCAGACCTAGAAAAACCCACCAGAAAGGAGAGGGCTCTCCCGGATCTGCACAGCTTGATGCTACTGCAAAAGCGACCTCGATTCCGCCTTGCAGACCTGAGGCTGCAAACGACTGGCAGCGAAGGAAGAGCAGCAAACGGGAAATGGTTTTCACCTCACTCACCCTGCCAAACTCCGAGGACCAGTTCACCACGATCATGTTCGGGACAGTCGCCGAAAGCCGTGCCAACGGAGTGATATTGACGGGGCGGCTGGGTCGTTTCGGCTCTGCGCCGTTTTTCGTGGGCGGGAGATAACCCTGCAAAGAAAGAAAGATGACCTGGCATAAAATGAATTCTCTCCAAGGTGCAAGGCCACGTGCAAGAATCTACGAACCCAATCTCTTCACGGCACATTGTACCTCACGACATTTCACGTCACACCTATGAGAATATATCTACGAATCTCTAAGCAGTACGTTATTACTCCTCGATGTCAAGAAAGGGAGAATAAAGGCTGCCTCTCATCTCCTTACGCTGACGAGCCCACTGGAATCCCATCGTAAGCTCAGCCTCTCCAGGAACACAGACCTGTCGGTCCGGGATGCGTTTTGCACAAATGGCGTTGAATTAAAAACCAAATCCTACCCAGTTCAGCGAGGCTGGGAAGCTAAAAAATTACATCCTGTGACAAATCTCAGGCTGATCTCATTTTTGCTTCATTATAGCCACGTTCCAACTCGATTAGAAGCCCATCCCACTATTCAGCCCGAGAGCGCCTTTTCTGCGGCTCAGAGAGATTTACACCGCCCTTTTTTCATCACCCTCGGACCGGGCAGCCTGAGACTGATTCAGCAGCCGCCCCTCAGTTTAAGCAGAAGTAAAACAAAAAAAGCCTTCCCCTCGAGCTGCTGTGGCGCGCGCAGCCCGTACAAACAGCTTCTCAGCTGCAGATGACTCAGCCAAATGAACGCCAGAAACCTTATCTGAGAGCAGAAGCAGGGGGGGGAACCCTTCAGCCATCTCGCATCTCACATGCGCTTCCCTCTTTCCGCCCCACCAGGCCAGAAACGACCTCTCTCTATATTTTTTTTTTTTTTTTTTTTTAAAAAAAAGCGGGTTATTAATCTTTTTGGCCAAACCCAACAAAAATTTTTGGGGCAAAAAAACAAATCTCTAAAAATATGAAGGGAGCGGCCACTATTCAGCCCGAGAGCGCCTTTTCTGCGGCTCAGAGAGATTTACACCGCCCTTTTTTCATCACCCTCGGACCGGGCAGCCTGAGACTGATTCAGCAGCCGCCCCTCAGTTTAAGCAGAAGTAAAACAAAAAAAGCCTTCCCCTCGAGCTGCTGTGGCGCGCGCAGCCCGTACAAACAGCTTCTCAGCTGCAGATGACTCAGCCAAATGAACGCCAGAAACCTTATCTGAGAGCAGAAGCAGGGGGGGGAACCCTTCAGCCATCTCGCATCTCACATGCGCTTCCCTCTTTCCGCCCCACCAGGCCAGGAAGGTCCCCTCCCTATATTTTTTTTTTTTTTTTTTTTTAAAAAAAAGCAGGTTACTAATCGTCTTGGCCAAAACCAGACAGAATATCTGAGGCAAAAAATGCAAATCTCTAAAAATATGAAGGGAGCGGCTCCGGCAGAGCATCAGAGGCCGTTCTGCAGGTTTGCTTGCAAAAAGCGCCAGCTGTAACGCAGCAAGGCCGGCGTGGGAGAGCAGACGGGGGACCGGCCTGAGACGGTCAAACCTCCGATACCTCTCCTCGGTGTGGCGCTGGATCGCATCCCTTTGTGGGCTGTAAATGGGGCAAGCGCTATTTCTTAGTATATTTTTACACATTACCCAGCACAAAGGACCCCAGCCTTGACTGGAGCATCCAGTTCTTCCTGCAACGTGAGAAACTAAAGGCAGCGCCATTATTCCATTAAACTCAGATTTTACTCTGCATTTTTATTATCAAGTTTTTCGCCAAAAGAGGCGTTCCAAAAAAACGAGAGGGCATCTGCTGGTTAAAAAAAAAAAAAAAATCAGGCCCAAAGTTTGCATATTCTTCTACTTCAAGACCACGCTCCTTGAATCAAAGAGCAGCTTTCATCACCAATCCACAGCCCCGTAACATGAAATCAGTTTTGCGCTCTGACCACACCATTTCCAGTCAGTCTTTAATCTCTGGAAAATACGTTCTCACTGCACTCGCTGGGAGCTGCAGCTGTGTAAAAGGGCAGACTTCAGTCTACAACATATTAAGAAGAAATAAGATTTACTCACAGGCAGGGGACAGAGTTTTCCATTGACCTTGACAAATAAATTAGGAGGGAAGTAATCTTCTTGGGGACAGCTGGTTTCACACAAGCAAAACCTAAGAAGCAGGAGGGAGAAACTGGCAAGTGAGTGGTGACACTCGCAAAAAACGGCAGCCAAACTTCCCTGTAAAAAGGGGAAAACATTTTCCAAGCAGAACAGATCAATGGCTGGCAAACACATGAGCAGATGAACCGCCCTACGCGTGTTTCAAACCCTACGCGCGGCAAAAGCGATACGAGAAACAAGGCAGAAGAACGCCAGCGACTTGAAACGACTGCTAACGCGCACGCTGCAAAGTGTGCGGGGGCAGGGCTCATTTTATTCAGCGCAGAGGACGATCTAAGCTGTCCGGAATCGCGGTTTCAAAGGCAAAATGTCTTTCTCTGGCTCAACATCGTTCCGAAAAATGACCCAAACCCAGCTGCGGGTTCAAGTGGTGCGGACAGCTACCCCGGCTGCCGCTTCGGACGAAGGAGGACTGCCATTCGCTCTGGCCACCCTGACAGAATTCCCAGCCCAGCAGCCTTGTATCGGATGGTTTAATCCGGGTTTGGGCGCGTTCACGTGCAGCTTCACCCATAGATTCTGCAGCACTTGAAGATGCAAGGAACTACGTCTGTTTAAGTTACCCGGCAAAAGCACCTGAGGAACTAAAAAGTTATATTTGACCCGAAGTGGATCTCGCAATAGGACAGACTGGTTACTGCTTGGACTCTCAAAGCTCTTCTGTCACCACTCGATATCCTGCCGTTGCCTCCCTCATCATGGAGTCATCTTGGTTGGAAAAGACCTCGAAGATCATCGAGTCCAACCGTCAGCACCAGCAACCCAGAGCAGGCTCTGGTTCAAACCCTAATCCCAGTTAATCAGATGGCCGTGCGCTCTAGTTTCTCTCAAAGGAGGCTGCTCTGCCAGAGACGGCTCCCCACGCTGAAACCGCAGCCCTGCCGCGGAGCCCTGAGTCAGACTGCGACCTCGGCCGCCGCCTTCCGAGCTGCGAGATCAAGCCCTGGCACGTCACGCCGATGCAGAGCCACACCACCAGTGTTCTTGAAAAATAAATCTGATCTTATTGTTTTTTAACCTCCCTCTGCTTGCCAAATAAAACAAAGAATAAAACCGAGCGTTAATCTTTTTCTTGCTTGGGAACATGAGGATACCGCATAGGCTGGGGCAGATCAGCGGGAGAGAAGAAACGATCCCACCATCGTTTTTAACTCCTGCACTGAAGTTTGCCGAAGGAGGGTTCACCTCTTCGGGGAAGGGATGCGCTCTGGACACCCCAGGAGACTCCTGGTGGACTATCTGGTAAACTCTGTTTCATCTCCAACATCTAAAACATCGTCAGAGGCACATACACCCAAACCGGTCCTTCAAAAACAGATGTGGGGGTTTTCTGTGCTACAGAAGAGACGTTTCCAAGCGTCCACCTCCTGATGCGTCTCAGGGAACAGGATGCCCGCACGCGTCGCTCCACCAGCTCTGCGCACAAGAGCGGAACAGATGGGCCCAGCAGGGAAACTGCGACTGTAAAGCCCCAAATCGGAGAGGCGTTGTCACAGAACCATAATTAATACAGAACGCCCTCCTGAAAACCAACGGGCTCTCTTTTGAATCAAACCAAAGTCTTCAAACAACACTTTTCTTCAGACTTCCAGATATCCGAAACTCCTCATCGCTTTTTTTTCCTGAGAGTACAGCAGTGATTCTCTGTCTCTTTGCCAAGTTCAAGCCCAGATAACAAAATTTAACATTTTTTAACGCTGCTGGGGGTTGAATGTTGGGCAAGAGCCTCCTCGGTTCCTGTTCAGTGCCATAGGACAGCGTGGGCAGGCGCTTAAATAACCACCCCGGCACTGACTGCAAGAATCAGAGGGCAATCCGTGAAGCACTTCCAAGTATTTTTCTACTCACGCTCTCCAACACGTCATGCATTTTCATGAGCAATAGCTGAGTGAATATTAAACAAATGTTCAAATTTTAAGGTAATGTAGTTTCTGCGGCTTATTGCGCCTTTTGCAATGCATCTGCAAGCAGGCAAATCATTAAATGGAGAAGAGAGAGAAGCGAGTTCTATATCGGCGTGCAAACTCTGAAAAAGATTAAATTTCACTGCGCTTAAAATTGAGAAAACTTGTGTGCGAGGCCTGTGCCAGCAGAGCGTCACCCAGAGACAACTCAGTCAGCCTCGCCGAGTCCAGGAAGACCCCTGTGGTTTGGTGCTGCACGCCAGGGTTTATCAGAGGCTTGCTCCCATATAGAAACCCTCCCTCCCATACAGAAACCCTCCCATATAGAAACCAGCATTCAGAACGTAGCACCAAACGTTTAAAATTTCCTCTGAGCAACCTGACACGCAATTTCGAACCAAACCAAGCGCTAAAAGCGCGATTCACCAAAATCAAGGACAAATTAAGACCGACACACTAGCTCAGGGAACACAGCACGTTCATCAAAAAGACATTACCTTACCTTAATTGCACCTGTATAGTGTAATCACATTTGGCACCTGGTAAGATATCTCTGCAACAGAAAAGAAGGTCTTGAGACTGTCAGCAGCACTTAATAGAGAATTACAACTCCAACAGCATAAATTTTTATTAAGTTATACTGATATTGATACAGGTGAGTTATATTATGAATAAAACCAGTGCAGCTGAATTGTAAAAGCAGGCAATACCTGCCTGAACTAGCAGGCAAAACTCCCAAACCAGGACGTAAAGCAAAAGCCCACTGAACAGAAGGGAGAGCGGCGGGAAAAGGAGAAAATCAACCTCAAAGATTCTTGCTGCTGAGTTTTGAGAACATAATGCCAGCTACAAACTCGCCAACGCAAACAAACGGTTGTGTTTGTAGGCACAGGTGGAGGGCAGTCCTAAATTTTGGGATGAACTTGCACGTTTTTATCCCAGTTGCCACATTTTCTCTCTTCCATACAGTAATTCCACCCTGCAGGCTTCCAGGCAGGCCCTCAACGGCTGTAAGCAGCACAGCAGCGCTGGCATCAAGGAATTCCCCTTCTGCCACCCAACTTGGCGTTTTATTCTCACATACTGCGCTGGAGCAGAGAAACAGGAATTGCTTCAGGTTCAGCTCTTCCTCCTGTTCCGACCGTCCCTGACCCCCTCATCTGCCAGGCTCGCTCACCCAAACTCTCCCCATTTTTCCTCCTGACTCCGCTCCCCGTTCCGCCGGGGAAGAACGCGCAGCCGCAGCAGGGAAGCCACGCGCGCTTGCGCGGCATCCAGAGAGACGCCGTTTCCCTTACCGGGAGGTGAGGATCTGCTGGACTTGCTGGGGGGTTAGAGCAAAGGTGAAGTGAGCTTCTTCAAACCGTTGACTGTTCGTTGAGGCTGAAAAAGAGAATTTAAGACAAATTAAATCATCGTTAAGTTGTTCTTACACCTGCAGGCGCCAAGGCTTGTAATAAGCACAGGACAGCGTCCACTAAAAGCAGAAGGCAATCCGTCGTCAAAATTAACTGCAGCTCCACGCAGGGGCCCTCCGCACGGCGCTGCCCAGGGATCAGCGGACAGGTTGGGAAGAGCGAGATCAAATGCGGAGCTAAGGAAACGCCAGAGGTCATCCATTGCCCTAGAAATTATAATAATTACTGTGGTTACGGAATAAGTACAGTTGCTGAACAACAATCAGGCGTTGCCATTTTCTCCTCGGGTACATGGACAGTCACGGTGAATTTAGAGAAAACCAGCTGTGCCCTCGATTAAAAATAAACCCACACTATGGGAGAATCAAGAATTTTACAGGAGGGTTAGTGACGAGCATGGTAAAAACGTTTGGTGCAAGGTACACGTAAAAATAAACCAGGATTTCCCCTTCTCTTTGCCTGACCTTAACCAAGTGACTTCTTTTGCGCCTGAGCCTCTCCCTCGGTAAAACTGGCAAGTCTTTCCCTGACCTTAACCAAGTGACTTCTTTTGCGCCTGAGCCTCTCCCTCGGTAAAACTGGCAAGCACCTGCCTCCCTCGCAGCAGCCGTGAGCTATTTCATGAATATTTGCAGAGTGTCGGTACCCGAGAATGAAGACCACTGACGCTGTAAGCCAGGGTAACTTGCAAAGAGACGACTCGGCCTCTTCTGCGCTCGTTTTTACACCCATCAGGAGAGGTCCTGAGCAACAGCAGCTCCCGCTGGTGCTCTCTGGGATGCAGAGCACGAGAAAACGAAGCCCAGGTCGTTATCGCAGCAGCACGTGTTCCCGTAAATCTCACAGTTTGATCCTTTATTTATTGCAAGGAGTGTGGTAACACTTGTGATGAGCCGGTCATAGGCAACTACAGATCTGCAGAGGAGGTTAGCTCGGTCCTCTTTGGAGAGGGACACCCTTAGGCTGGCCTCCCCAAAAAGCACGTTCAAGCACAGATTCCTCAGTGGGGCGAGGGGTTTTGCTTCTCCAGCCTCCTGCAGCTCAGGAATGCGAGGAATGCGAGGCCCTGAGTTTCCTGGCAGATGACCTGCCAGATCTTCCCGGGACCGGCAGCGGCAACAGGCTGGCAGACCGGACCGGAGAAATTCAGAGGAATTTTGACCATCTTAGGACTTTCTGTCTGAGCCTTTCACTCCTCACTGACAATATCAGACCCTGATGCTGCTCCCAACAGAGCCGGGGTAAAGCCGCTTGGTGTCAAAGTGGTGCTAACCAATATCTGCGGTGTTCTCTGGCCTCTGCCGCCTCCATTTATAATCAATAACCAACTTCCATCTCACAACCCATTTATAACCAGTGTTGTTGCTCTGCTGGCAGCCTTCGTCCGACCCAGAGAGGAACACCCACGTCTCCAGAACTGACGGTAACGCCGCTAGAGCTTTGGTACAGGATGGGGAGCGGGGAAGCCAAAGCCTGGATCTTCCTCATTTGCGGCAAAGAGAGCGCGGACGGACCAGGAGGCTTTATCCTCAACCCCCGTCTCGCTGTCTTCACCCATCGCCACCCTCTCCACCCCTCTTTTCATTCTTCCTTCCCACATATTCCTTATTTCTGGCGTTTTTCTGACACCGCAACCTTCCTGTCGGGATACTTACAACGAATTGTCCCAAGTGACTAAAACAAAAGAATGGGAAGGGGACGTTTACACAGCTAAAGGGAGAAGACAGACACGAACCACCAGAAGCCAAAAATAAAAGTCCGCAATCCCCTAGGAATTACATAAAAACTCTTTCAAGTTCAAGCACCAACACAGAAGTAAGGGAGTTTTATCAGGGGACAGAAAAAAAAAAAAATAATTTCTTTTGCAAGGCGAGTATCCCATTTCAGGGAAGAGGCTTAACCACAGGTTGTCTGAGAGACTGAACAAAGCCAAACCTAAGAAAAGGCAATTTTTAGCAAAACAGTAACAAAACCAACCCCCCCCAAAAAGTGCAGGGGCTTTGGTTGGAGTACAGGCACACTTATCTCCACTTTAGCAAACGTTACTATGTTTATATGAAAGAAAAACCGCCCCGAATCCAAGCGAAAACCATTTAAAAGGCATAAGATGGGTGGATCTAGTCTGAAGAGGCCAGAAGGGCTCAACCTAAAGTAAAAATACTAATTATAACTTATTCTAAAAACCAGAATAAATCTCCTTTCTTCACAGGCCCAAATCACCCAGGAGCAGCAGCGCTTCCAAACCCACCAGCAATTACCGGGCTAACTCTGTACCGTACGTCTCCCCACCAGCATTTTAAAGATTACAGCAAACACACAGCTTCGCTGGAATTAGGCAAAACCCAGCATTTTCTTGTCCCTGTTTTACAAATGGGGAAGCATCGGAGCGCTCGGCCCCCACATCCCGTCGAGAAACAAGTGGCTTTGCCCTTTTGCCATACCCCATTTCTGCTCTTAAACTCAAGATCCCTGTTTGTCTCCTGCTCAACATCGTCGTCTCGCCAACACAGAGCTGACCTCTCCTCGTATTTGCAACAAGCTGGACTGCAATGCATAAAACAGTCCATTAATTTGATATATTGGAAGATTTTAGGACTACATTTTTGTTAGTAATTAAGGCAGAATTAGGACTGAAATGTGGCAGAGGATTTTTAAGAAGCTGTTTTGCTGGAAGGTGGAGCACCAATTGTTTGCAAAAACAACAAACCACTTTTCGTAATTAACTCTCCTGGCACTCACTAATTTGTTCGGAAAGGGAGCCCATGCCCACTGAACGAGGTTTTTACTCTCTCGGGATTAGGACCCAAATGCTGATGTACCACAGACCAGAGGAAGTTTCGCAATTCAGAATGCAAAGAAAACCCCAGGCTCAATCAGGCAAAACCAGTAAATAATGCAAAACTTAGGTACACTTATAGAACATGCACTTAACCGAGAAGGTGTCAGCTGGGAGAGAAATACCCTTTTTCATGCAAATAAATTTGGAACAAGACTGACAAGCAACTAACACCTTCCATTTGTGGCAGCCCGTACAAGACTTATAAGAAAGATGGGGACAGGCTTTTTAGCAGGGCCAGTAGCGACAGGACAAGGGGGGATGGTTTTAACTAAAAGAGGGTGGATTCAGACTGGACAGAAGGAAGAAATTTTTCACGCTGAGGGTGGCGAGACGCTGGCCCAGGTGCCCAGAGAGGCGGTGGGTGCCCCATCCCTGGACACATCCAAGGCCAGGCTGGGGGGGGCTCCGGGCAGCCCCGTCTGGGTGAAGATGGCCCCGCTCATGGCAGGGGGTTGGGTCAGACGACCGTTAAAGCTCCCTCCCAACCCAAACCCTTCTACGATTCCATGAAATCCCACTTTCATCTGGCTATCAGCCTTCTGAATCCATGCTGACGGCTTGCCCTAATCACGCCACTCCTGCTCTGTCTTCTCTACCCGAGCAAACAGAAGGAGCCTCCCAAGAACAAGAGGAGCGAGCATTTTCGAACGTACCTAACGTGGTGGGTTTGATCAACTCATCGTAAACATCGTAGAAGGGCAGCCTCTTCATCTTGACGTCCGGGTGGACGGGATGGATGGGCGGCGATAAGTGCTGAACGTCCGCCTCGTGCTTGGGCCCCAGCACAGGCACCGGAGGCAGCAGAGCCGCCGGCACGGCGGCAGAGCTGTGGTCATAGGGCAGGTGACACACCGTGCCCTGCGTCAGCGCGGCGGCCGAGGGCAGCTGCCCTGCCTGAATGTGGAGCATTGACAAGTCCGAAGGGGTTAAGATCTTTCTCGGGAACCTCCGCCGGTACAGTTCTTTAATTTTCATCTGGACGGCCGGGCTGCAGCCAGGTTTCAGCAGCTGTAAGGCCTTTGCGAGAAGTTCGTGCTTCCTTCCACTTTTGTTCCTCCCAGCAAAGCCCAAGAGAACTTGTAATTCCGATACCCTAAAGCTCATAACCATATGCTGCAAGAAAATAAAACAACCACCGTTACAATTGCTGCGTGAGCAGACGTGATCCAAAAACAAGCCACGGGTTCACCAAGGAAGATGGTGGAGGCCTTAAAAGAGACACTGTCAGGTTTGAAGTTCCCCTTGTCATCAAGAACGCGTCAGTAGCAGAACCGTAAATATTTAGATTGCCTTTTACTTTTAGATACTTTGTTTGGATCTGGAAACACACAAGGTCGCACTCACTTCCCGATTCGACGGACGTCTGAGCGGTTTCTGATACCCAAAGGACGGTTAAATCACCTTCCCTTCGAATAAACACGGACAGTTTCTTGTAGGGTCAACCTCGCCTTCAAACTAAAGCTTTCTGTACCTCTCTGGGGTTAAAGCTCTCGCTTTAAGGCCTCTTCAGGCTGGCGTAGAAAGGCCAAGCCCCAGTGTGACCGCAAAGGTTTTCAGCCATTGCTTTTATTCTTTTATTTCAAAAATATACTTTGGGAATGCCCAGTTTTGGCCCGATGTTTCTCTAGGGAGACACATCAGACATCAAATCTGAAAACAGACGTCGGTCATTAATGGGAAAGGCTGCAATTAAGGAAAAACATCTATCAGGCACCACCTCTACACCGAGACTGGCATCATCTATCACCCTGCCTCGCTGACGGGAGTCCCCCCAGCCTGCTAATCCTCACCACGAGTCCAACAAGCCTGCTAGGGTTAAGGCAAAAGATGCTTGAAGAGGACAAAATACAGGATTATTCCCATTTCACAGGAGGAAAACCAAAAAGGGTCTCAGAGACCCCTCCGCAGTCACACCAGGCAAGTTCGTAGCAGACCTAGAAACTCAGCTCAGTCTCAGTCTCATTCACAAAACCATCCTTCTCCTGAACTCGTGATTTCAGAATTACTTATTTAAGCAGAAACACCCATGGGATGACAAAGAGTGCTATGGAAGCACATATATACTTGCATGCATATATATTTGTACATATTGTAGCACAATCTTTTCTTTCATGCAAGGAAAAAAGGGTTAAACCTGGGATCGAGCAACTCCCAGCACTCTCCCTTTTCAGTAAGAAAGGGCACAGAGAGTTCCACCCGCCTCTGCATCTGGAAAGCCTTTCCCCTTTAGGCTCCCAAAATGACACCGATTCACCAGTAGCAGAATTGTTCTCCAATCAGTTACAACTTCGTGGGGTTTAAATCCACGATTTCGGTTCCACGGAGGGGCTTCATCCGGCTGCGGTGGAGCACCGGGGCGCAGAGGGGAAAGGCTGGCTTCTGCGAGTTCAGAAATGCCAAAAAACTGCAATCCCTTCGATAAAAGAAATGCAAAATAAAAGCTGGAACCTCGCCGGTTTAACGGGAGGCGTATTTTGCATTCGGATTGATTCTCAAGCCCGACGGAGCTGATTTTCCTTCGAGAAAAGCTGACGGGAACATCTCGACTTTACATCTTACAGACCAAGTTTTCTAGAGTCGCTCCTGAACACCGAATTAGGAGGCACACCTCTAATCTACAGGTCAAGCTTATTAGTTAATTGATTCTGGTCTGCGCCCCGAGAGGTTTTAAGGCAGTTTAATTCGCTGTATTAGGAGCGCGTTACCCACGCACCGACGACGCAGCATCTCAGGAGGACAACGTGACAGATGTTCCGCTTCCCAGTGGGAAAAAAACAAAAAGGGAAGTATTTGGTAAAGCTATCAAAGCCAGCTCTGTCGCTACAAAAAGTGCCATGCGGCCCCTGACGCAGAACAGACACAGCCTCAGAGAAGGTTTTGTGGAGAAAAAACCCTGTAGGTCGCGTGGGATTTGCCTATTACCTCTGCTGGGTGACACGTTCGAGAGAAGAATGATTAACTTTTTTTTTTTTCCCCTTTTTGGAGTCAGGGGAATTTGTTAGAAGCAGGAAACCGCTGTCATTTAAGAGGAAATAGCTTGACTTGGGGTCTCTCAACTTTGACAGTGCCTGTTTTAAACAACTCCCAGAAAAGACACATCAGGGATGCACATCGATCAAATATTCCTCTTACCAACTCCCTCCCCTTTTGCGACAATCATCGTAAAGGAACCGACCTTTTCCCACATCCATTATTCCCCCAAATCCTCCGGACAGAGTCCTTCAACCGGCAGGAGATGAGTGTAGCATGGCTCACCAGCACGAGATTCACATTTATCATTAAAAAACAAATCGCATTCGTGACATAGGATGGCTGTGTCACCACCGCTGCAGCAGCTGTGGACTCTTATCTACCCCCGAAGCCTCTCCGATTACTGCTCGGAGTATCGGAGCAGCGGAAAAAACTCTCTTTACTGCCGTAAGAGATAGCAATCGAGAGCTCCAGAGGGCACCTGAGGCTTGGGAAGCGGCTGGATCCACAGCAGGCTCGAGTCCGATCGTGCCGCTGTTGAACAAGGCACGTCCGCAAACCTCTTCTCCTTCCAGGGGAGTCACCGTTCGGTCTTTTAAATAAAGGGAAGTGTCTTAAGCCAACTACGGGCTTTATAAGGAGAAATCATTTTGTTTTCAACTGGCTCGTCTTGCTTTTACAATGAGACACAGATGGTAAAAAGCTTAAACAAACTCCTGGCGAGGAAACCAGAAAGGGGGTTAGGGGAGACGGACAAGGGAAGGGAGCAGAGATTCAAAAATAAACTGAAGAAGCCTCAAATAACGGCAAGGTCCACCGAAAGGGCTGGCGCCCGGGGGGCCAAACCCCAGAGAGGTAAACCTGCGCGCTAAGCTACGCCTGGTCTTAAAGCACAATTCCTCTGTGGGGATTTAAACGGAGCAGAAAACATTATGGACGCTTCGCCCTGGGTCGCGCTCGGCTTTACGCTCGGCTATACCACGTGCCCAAACTGCGGGATTGCGGACACGGTTGCTGGAGCTCCACTTCTGCACGGTCCCAAATCACCCAATTACAATTATCAGATCCAATTTCTCCACTAATATTGTTAACATTTTGCCACTTGATAGGGCTCCCGCTGTAGTCAGGCTTAAGTTTTACGGGAAGGATAAAGATCAGGCCATAAAGCTGTATCAAAATTTGGACAGGGCGCTGCTGGAAAGACAAATATTACTCCGGAGAATTCTGTTCTTGCTGTGGCTGGCTGCCAAAAAGGTGCCAGTTCCCAAATGTCTTACTGTTCCCAGCACGGGGAAGGGGGCAGGACTCCTAGGCCACTTGAGCCAGCTAAGAGCTACATTCCAGCCTGTGGGGGAAAAAATATTAAACCGCCAACAAGGAGAAAAAGAAAAAAAAAAAAAAAAATCAGCTTTGGAATTAGTTACCAGGGGCAATTTCATATTCCACAGTCTGGTGGGCAAAGGTGGTGACACACTCTGACTCCTAAAAAAACGAGAAAAAGAGAGTGGAGGGAGATGAAACCCCATCCAGCTGTGAGCACTGGTGCAGCACTACCATGTTACACGCTCTCTGCCCCCTCCTCCCGTCCTGCACCCCAAACCTGCCCCCGCACCGGCCCCTCTCCTGCCTGCCGTTACATTCTGCTCCCCTGCCTAGCCCCTGGCATCCTTCCAGGCTCCGAACCACTCTGGCTCTCAGCTCTCCCTTCCTTTGGGTTTCTACCTCTCTTCTCCACAGCTCTGCACCTCCGAAGCCCCCCAAGGTCTTTTGGCCCCCTCCTCTCGCGGACGAGCCCACCGGGCTCGCTGCCGTAGTCCGCAGCCTCACCGCTGCTCAGCACACAAAGGTCCAGACCCTGGCGCCCTCCCCACGGCCCCTTCGCCCCGCTGGTCCCTGTGCCTTCCCCCCACGGCTCTGCCCCCGAGCCGGGACCCCACGGCTCGCCCCCGCCCCCCCCCCCTCCCCCCCCCCCCTCGTT